TACATCATCATAGATCTGACCTTGTCATCTACTTCGAAAGCATTTCTAAAGCATCTCCTCTTCCATCACACTTGTGAGAACTGGTATAAGAAATGCAGGATAACTTCCCTGCATAATGCATATTGCTGTGTGGTTATTAAATCCAAAATAAACATTTTAGTTGGAATAGAATCGCTGTACCAAAACGGCAAGCACCATGGATGTGGACATCCTGACATTTCTTTTACAGTACAAGAACCAATAAGGTTGAAAGCTTATTTTCTTCTCCATTAATTTCCTTTCCAAATTTCAATATGCTGAAAACGATAAAAAGCCTGCGCCCACTGGTTGTGCACTAAACTACAGCTCATAAGTGACACTAAATCACATCACAGCATGCAGATATGGTGTGTGTGCCTACACGTGCTGTGCAAAGGATGCATGATGCATTTGTTCAGAGCATCATGCTTAAGCAGGTATTCTCCTAATGGGAGCCTAGATAGAAAACTTCCTGACAATCCAAGGTTAGTTGAAATGAATTATGAAGTATGCAAATGTTTCTACGCCGTGTGGTGCATAGAAAAAGCAAAACTGACATATTGTCTTATCCTTGGGTGTATATATATATATAAATATAAATTATGGAACAAATAGATGAGAGAGAGAAGAGAGATGACAGGGAGAGAGAAAAAGAGAGAATAAGAGATGGAGAAAGGGTGAGAGATGGAGAGAGAGAAGGGCGAGAGAGGAAGAAAGAGAGAGAAAGATGAGTGAAGGGGAGAGAGAGAGAGAGAGAGAATAAATATTAAGTTAGCAAGCTATATTGTCCAGATAAAATTCAGAAACATGTATCAATCAAAACTAACTCCAATAGTAAACTATAATTGCTGTTAGTAACCGTTGCAAAACATTTATTTAGACAATACGATCTTAAGCATATCCTCTACACCAGATGAATACTTTGTTGCTTATGAAATGTCCAATGTTTTTTTTTCACAGTTAATAACAAAAACAATTTCTTCTCTCTCTGGTTTTATTTTTATTTCTCCACCATGGAACCATATAGTGTATACTTATGTGCTTAGCAACCTTCAGTGGAAATATTTTTTTTTAAAATCTGAAGTACAAAAGTTATGTTCTGTTCCCTTTTGAGCAAAAATGGAAATTTGTTATATTAAATATTGAATGTGGAAACATTTTATATTACTTTCTTACATCCGGAGGTTCTTTCATTTTCCCAAAATGTTATCAACCAAAGGCTGATTCTAGTGATGGAATAAGATATATTTTCCCCATTTCTTCATATTTCCCAGAATCTTTTCAAGAGGATCACCCAGTTTCCAATGTCAAATTGGTGTGGGAACTAGAAAAGCTATTTTCTCCCTTTTAAATCTCAGGATCATCCTATGGACAAAAATGTTTTTGGTGCCATTCTTGAATTCTAACATTAATTCTAACATCAAGAAGCAACGGATAGAAACTAACCAAAGAGAGAAGCAATCTAGAACTAAGGAGAAATTTCCTGACAGTTAGAACTATTAATCAGTGGAACAACCTGGCTCCAGAAATTGTGAATGCTCCAACACTGGAGGTTTTTAAAAAGAGACTAGACAACCAGTTGTCTGAAATGGTGTAGGTTCTCCTGCTTGAACAGGCGGCTGAACTAGAAGACCTCCAAGATCCCATCCAGTTCTATTCTATTCTATTCTATTCTATTCTATTCTATTCTATTCTATTCTATTCTATTCTATTCTATTCTATTCTATTCTATTCTCATTTGTATCAAATGAATGGAACATTTCAAATGTCCTTGCAAAAAAGAAAAAAGAAAACAAAAGGATAGTACAGAGGAGAGAGAGCTGTGGATTTGATGACTAACTCCGTTTGGGTCAATTTGGTCTGTATATAGAATTGAGGAGTCCTTGATACTCTCTCTGAACTTAGTTGTTTTCTTGCAGACATTTCATTACCCAGACTAGTAACATCATCAGTACTCTAATGATGTTATCTACTTTGGGTAATGAAACATCTGAAAAAAAAAACACCAAGCTCAGAGATAGTACAAAGGGCCACTCATTTCAACCCTGAGCTACAAAAATTCTCCTTAACTGTATACAGCACTTTCTTAAATTTCCCTTAAAAAGTAGCACATTGAATGAAATTAGTAATTTAAGCCCTCTTTAGATGGGCACTATAATTTGAGCTAGGGACAATAATGTCATAAATGTTGCTCCCAATAAAGACATTTATAGACAGCTGGAATGTCTGGTTGCCTTTCTATGTCCCATAATTAGCAAAGGTTTCTAAGATAACAATGCAGCTTCAAGTCCATGGCGTTGGTGCAGGTGGAGAACGAGATGAATTATCCCTAATCAACATTTGAAAGTATTGAGTCATATCTCTGTTTCTAACCTTAAAAGAAAAACCACACTGGGCCCATAGCGGGGACTTGGAGATAATCTGAAGATATATTGATTGATTGATTCTACTGTAGGGCTGAGAAACTATTGTGCAACTTGAGTTGAACACCACACTAAAGCTGAGAAATAAAATATTATACTATTACACCAGTAAAAGTTGTAGATGTAAAGCCAGCAAGGTCAAAATAAGAATAGTAAAAGCAAAAAAAAAAAAAGTATAAATCAGGCTGAGTAACAATATAGATGGTGTCATTGTTTGCAATAATAAAAATACAAATATTTGGTTATTTTATTTTTTGATTAAATTTGCATCCTATATTACATCCCTTTATTATAAACTAACTTGGTGCCTTCCTAACTAGGCCACATTATGATAATTTTGAATATATTTAAACCTATTTCAACAGTACATCTGCTGTTGGCCATCTGCTGATAGTTCACAAAATCAACTTCTTTTTTCAGTGCTAAGCATTCAATGATAGAAAGTTTATTAAAGAGGAACTTTGCTTTGCCATGGCTACTATATTTTCTCAGATTCCAGCCTTTTGGATAGTCCATTTACCTGGCAAGAACAAAATGATTCTTGTCTACTCATCTAATGTTACCAAATCTGGACTGCAGTACTCCAGATAACCACTATATGTGACAAAAACTAACTCCCTATTACAATTCTGTAATCCCTTAGAGTTGGGGCAACTGGATGGAGCTGAGCATTTACTAGCCGGATGCCCTTCCTGATGCTACATGGAGTTAACAGCAGATATTTTTTTCTTTGTGCACTATCTGCCATTACCTAGGATTGAACTCTCAACCTTCCTAGTGGGAGGCGAGAGTCTTCACCACTAGGCCACCATGCAGCTCAACACTAGATGATGACAAAGAGACACAGAAATATGTCGTATAATGATCACCAAGATTTTAGCCCAGATATGTTGACTCTAATTCATCTTCTTTAATTATGTCTGGGTAATTTCTACCAGGTTGGCTATTTGAAACAAGCAAACAAACAAATCATACACATCTCATTTAACTGTCCTTTAAAAAGGTATTATTCTGTCTATAATTGTGTCCTAGTATATGTGCTTAATAGCATTGTGACAGGGAGTAATCACCATTGCTTCATCTAACTCAGTATTAGAATTGAATAATGAAAGGCACACACTGTAAAATATGCACAAAAGGTTTTCTTTTTTTTAATCATATACAAAAATGACCTTATCCAGCCTTAAGTGCTGAGTCAGCTTCTGTCTATTTAATTGGCATTTTTAAATAATACAGTAGTTTAAAGTGTATTTTCAAGCTGAGCAGGGACTATTCTCCGTTTAGGACTGGCACAAAATTATTTAATCTGGCTTGTTGACTTTGATGTAGGTTTACAGAACAGGACTGAGAAGCTATACCCAGATTGGAGGGCAAAGGAAGTAATCAAAAAACAAGAAAAGAAAAAAAGAAGGATGTTTTCTAAACTTTTTTTTCTCCAAGTAGTATATTTTTTATATGATGTATGTTTAAGTTCTTTCTGTATATGAGTACATAACATTAAAAAAGGCAATAAAATAACAAATAGAAGTATTATTTCTATCTTACTGATAGAGAGGGAAACATTATATCATGATAGATCAGAAATTCATTGGTTGATTACAGTGGTGTGATTCAAATATGTGAACAACCGGTTCTCTGTGTGGATGCCACTTCTGGAAGTCCATTCTGGGCCTGGGCAATAGGCAACAGCTACAGGTTCTACTGAACTGGTGTGAACTGGCTGAATCCCACCACTGGTTGATTATGTACCATCAAGATGGTATGGATTCCTAGCAACTAAACAGATTTTTCTGCGTGAAGATCTGTTCATATTCTGTTTTTTCAAATGGTCTTAGATCAGTGGTTCTCAACCTTTCTAATGCCACGACCCCATAATACAGTTCCCCATGTTGTGGTGACCCCCAACCACTTATACATCACTGGGTGCCAGGGGCGTGGTCAAAGAAAAGGGGGAAAAATGGCGGACAGCCTTGTTTGGCGACCCCCGTGAAATGGTCATTCGACCCCAAATGGGGTCCCAACCCACAGGTTGAGAACCACTGTCTTAGATGAAGCATAGGTTGGATAACTTTAGTTATCAATAATAGCCATCTACAGTTAGCTGTCTGAGTGCAAATAGCTTTCCAAGTAAGTAGAGAAGAGGGCTTCACCTTTTTTCTTCATATATTCAGCTGGGATGCCTCAGGAAGATTTGACTTAAAGGTGAACTCATCTCCTCTGATCAAGAAACATTATAGAGCTGAATTCCAGATGAGGTTGAGAACTGTAATGCTTGCCATTGAAGACAAAAACAGCACACTCTTAGGTTTACTAATCAAAAAGATGAGGGACAGCAGGTGAGACAATGAGATGCCCTCTACTCAAGTTTAAACTTTCATATATTCAGGCAAATGTCTACATTGGACTCTTATAACATTCTTATCTCTGTTGAGAATCAATAGATTTTCCAGGCTTCTGTGTAGAGAAATATATTATATATTTGTTCTAGATATGGTCATTAGATGAACAAATTGCCTTTTACACTGTAAAACAGCCTAAACACCTTGTTTTTCTGCATAGGAGAACATCATGGAGGTGATTAGGAATCAAGAATTTTTACTGTTGCCAGCAGAGGAACTGCACAAACTTCTTGCCAGTGATGATGTGAATGTTCCTGATGAAGAAACCATTTTCCATGCCTTAATGAAGTGGGTCAAATATGACCTGCAAAGGAGATGTAACGACTTGAGTATGTTACTTGCCTACATCCGGCTACCGCTTCTTCCACCACAGGTAAATGTTTAGTTACTTCTGGATATGTCTCTCTCTGTGTACGTTTGTGTGTGAATTTCAAAGTATTAAGTAAAGTATGTATTTTACTCAACTATTAAATATACATTTTAGATGGTACGTACAAAATTCTGGAAGAAGAGATTTTTTTAGAACTGTAGAATGTAGAGCAGTGATGGCGAACCTTTTAGAGACCGAGTGCCCAAAAACCGCCACCCCCCGCCCGTCCCCACTCTGCCCTGCCTGCTGGACCACCCACCACCTCCAAGGCCCACCACAGATCACCAAAGCGGCCCAGCAGTGCCATGGTGGTCACGCCCTCCACCTGTGCCCTGCAGTATCATCTGCGTGCAACAGGGTGCAAGGGCAGAGTCTTGTTCCCGCTGCCTGGCTATCATGTCCTTGGCTGCGCTGCTTTGCATGGGCCACGCCCAGTTGCAACTCTCCTCTGGGGGGCTGCTGGTGAGGAGGGGGCCATGGGAAGAGATGGGGCTGGGGCGATGGTGAGTGTGCCCACAGAGAGGGCTTTGAGTGCCATAGGTTCGCCATCACTGATGTAGAGTGTTTGTGCCTTTTCTAGCACACAATCCAGCTCTGGGTTTCTGGAAATTAAATCTCTGAACAAAAAACATTTTGCTGGATCCAATCAGGGTTGGTCACCCGGACCAGAGGCTTAGTCTTCTGAGCTTTTGGACTTGTGTGCTGGAGCCCATCCTAGGGAACATCTGTCTAGCAGAGTGTGTGTTTTGGGCTGTTTTATGGGTGTGGTATTTATATAGTGCTTTTGTGGTGCTTTAGTTCTGTTTTGGGGATGATCTGCTTCTGGTTTGGAGGATTAGCAATTGAAAAATTTCTGGGTCCCTCCTCCCCACCTCCAAAAGGTGGATTGGCATAATATAGAAAAGAAATGTCATTTTATTTTCTCTTCCTGGGAACCTTTTCCATAGACTTTCCATTCAAAATATGATGAATCGTGCAAACAATAAGGTAAAAAAAAATAGCCTGCATAATGATAAGCTTACCAAATAAATAAATATGCTCATTGATTACCTTTCTTAGCCTATCGTCAATATGTCTATAAGAAAATAAATAAGCATCAGAAAAACTCACTCACTAAAAAGAGAATAATTAAAAACACAATGTGTCTGTGTTGCTTATATGCAGAAAAAAATTATGAAGTCTAGGCTATTTTTCTTCAAAACCATCCAAGTTCACGTCCTCATTAGAATGGGGGGGGGGAATGTAAGTCATCACTTTGCCTTGGAAGTTCCTAGCTTCCTAATCTTGGTTGATGGATTCTCTTTATCAGACACTAGTGACAGAAAATCTGCAAATGGGGATGCTAAAGCATTTTGCAGAAGAGAACATTGATCATGGTGTATTCATGCAAATATAGGAATCGGAGAACTGAAGCTCACTTATAATTGAATCTGGACTTCAGCTTGCGAAGTGCACTTAACATTAAAATCTGGTTTAAAATTAAGCCAGATTTCTTCTAAAAGATTTTATTATATGTAAGACTATATTTTAGCTTGGTTCAAAATGTTTGCCTTAGAAAAGACTGTGACGATTTAGGACTTTGGGAAAAGAGTGGCTTCTCAAGATGAGTTCAAGGCCTTATTTGTTCTGGTGTATCTCAGTCTTGCAGCTTAAAGATTTAACTCCCAGAATTCCCTAGACAGCTAGCCTTCCCCAACCCCTAATTCCCCAACCAACTTCCAACTACCATGGTTGAGAAAAAATGCTCTATTTGTCAGAGAACTAAAGAACATTCAGTGATATCACAGGTTATAGCAGATGGTAGGTGCTTCTGTTTCTATCTGACCCAGCTGAGAATTCATTTCACGGGATGCTCACAAATAATCCTTAGTGTTAAAGTTTTGTTTAGTTTTTTTTTAAGAGCTATTACATCAATGTATTCTGTTAAGAATTTAAGACAGGGTTTCCTTGTCACCAAATAACGAGGGTTAATCACCATGAATTTAACCAGGTTTTCCAGGTTGATTGAGGTACCAAGACATATGCTGCGATAAGGAAGCTTCCATTGCCAACAATATTATTTTTAAATTACTAGGCGCGGTCTTTTCAATTATTACGTACATTGGTTACATTTTCTAAAATACCAACACATTTTAATTATTGCAGGTATATTCATATTCTGCTTTCTCCAATGGATATATTTTGTATGTACCGTAAATGCCGGCGTACAAGGCGACCTGGCGTATAAGACGACCCCCGTCTTTATAGCCGGGCCGCATTCCTAGAACGTCATCTTACACGCCGGAAACTACCAGTATTTCTGGCGTATAAGACGACTCGGCGTATAAGACGACCCCCGTCTTTGGCGCTGATTTCAGCGCTCGCAGAAGTCGCCTTATACGCCGGCATTTATGGTATGTATGTGTCTTTTTTTATTCTATTTATTCAATAAATTTCTAAAATTGCCTGTTTCAGAATTTGTGACTCTGGGCAGCCTATGTGACTTCATTAATGCAAGCAATTGTATGGGTGATTTTTCCTAAAATACGCTTGTGTTTTGATACGCATATTGAATTAAAAACCGTTTAATAAAATCTGAAGCAGCAGAAAGTTTGGCTGTTTGTCCTCTTACAATTCTCTGCCTAGCAGTTAGAAAATGTGAGTCAAATCAGCTTGCTTAAACTATTTATCATATGCCAACCAAATGATAGGCATACAGGCAATTTTACAACTTACAACAGTTTACTTAGTGATCGTTTGAAGTTACAATAGCACTGGAAAATGTGAATTATGACCATTTTTTTTCACACGACTATTGCAGCATCTCATGGTCACACGATCAAAATTCAAATGCTTGGCAACTGGCATGTACTTGTGACCGTTGCAGTGTCTAGGCTTCATTTGATCAGCTTCTTTGACCTTCTGACATGCAAAGACAATGGGGAAGCCAAATTCCCTAAAAAACCATGTTACTAACTTAACCACTGCAGTGAAGGTTGTAAAATGGGGCAAAATTCACTTAACTGTCTCGCTTAGCAACAGAAGTTTTGGGTTCAAGTGTGATTGTAATTCAGGGAATACTTCTGATTGTAAAATGCCATTTTGGGTGTGTAGAATTTAAAATGGGGGCTCACAATAAAAAGAAATATGAGAAACAAGTATTAGAACAGCATGATGTCTGAAGAATTAAAAGCAGAAAACAATGCAGCTTGAAAATGAAAGGCATGAGACAATAAAAGGTAGGCTGGGAGCATCAGCCAGGATCCAGTTTATGCGTGGTTTGGTGAGTTAGTCCACCTGATATCTGCACACACGGTCTTCTGGAGAATTGACTATTTCTACACACAGTAGAAGGGGGTATGATGGTTCACTGGTTAAAGATCCTGAACTTGTCAGCTGGAAACCCGACAGCTGGGTTTGTGATCCAAGCACCATGCAATGGGGTGACCTCCTGTTACTTGCTCCAGCTCCTGCAAATGCAAGTAGATAAATACCATGTTTCCCCAAAAATAAGACCGGGTCTTATTTTTTTTGCCTCCAAAAGAAGCACCAGGTCTTATTTTTGGGGTAGGCCTTACCTCACCTCCGGCACCAACAGCTCCACCCAGCCGGTCCACTTCTTCTGGGGCCAAAGTTCTGCAGCTGCATTCAGATCTGCATTTTGCAGTCAGGCCTTTCCAGAAGGCCTAAGCAGCCAACTACTGACCTATGGATTCAATTCATAGCTTGGTGCTTGGCTGCTGAGGTCTTGCTTAACCTAGCTATCGATTGAATCCATAGCTTGGTTCTTGGTGGCAGAGGCTTTCTGGAAAGCCCTGTGACTGAGAAATGCAGGCCTGGCTGCAGAAGAGGCCTCAGAAGAAGAAGTGGGCCAGCAAGGAGAGGCCTGGCTGCAAGGCGAGTGGGTGCAGGGCAGGTGGGGCAGTTCCAGCCCCCAACCCCTGTCCTAGCTTGATTTTTAGGTGTGTGAATTGCCCCAAAACTAGGGTTTAATTTTGGGATAGGGCTAATATTAGGACCACCCCCAAAAATCAAGCTAGGGCTTATTGTTGTGTAGGCCTTACTTTTGGGAAAACACGGTAGGTACCACTTTGATGGGAAGGTAACAGCATTCTGTGCGCCTTTGGTGTATAGTTGTCCATGACCATGGAAGTGTCTTTGGGCAAAACTATGTCCCTCAGCTAAGAAACAAAAAATCGCCTTAGAGCAGTGGTCTTCACACTTGGCCACTTTAAGACTTGTGGACTTCAACTCCCAGAATTCCTCAGCCAGCCCTGGCTGGCTGAGGAATTCTGGGAGTTGATCCGCAAGTCTTAAAGTGGCCAAGTTTGAAGATCCTTGCCTTAGTGTTAGGCACAAGTGGACAAAAGGTGCTTTTCCCTTTACTTTTACACATACTAGATGTACTTTGTCCAAACCAGGGCAGATTGCAGAGTGCTGCATACAGCCCAGCCCTAATCAGCTCATTACCCTCCCGAGAACAGCTTTTGATGAGCAAAGTGGAATTAATTTCTTTCCTTTCTTTTTTGAGGACTCCTGCTTTGTGACTTGGAGTGGCTTCTCTTGATATATTTTGTTTATAAGTAAGACACCAGAATGCAAAACAGATCAGTGGAAATGAAAACCCCAAAGCTAAGCCAGATAAATTATTGTTCTAATTTTAACAGATTTACTCTTATGTGAGATTACATATGTAAAGTGTTACATTTTAAAACCTTATCCGAGATAAAAAACGCTTAAAGCTTTCAGTGGAAAAGTGCCAGGTTTTAATTAAAATAGATTCAGGCAGGGTTTAAGAATAATTACACTGGATTTATTTTACAGCTAGCAAACTAAATCAGAATATTGGTTAAGGTAAGACTGGATCAATTAGGATAGTAAAGGTAATTTGCATTTCTAATGCATGTCTAATCATCGTGCAAAGATTGGCTTGTATGGATCTTTAAACTTGTCTGGAATAGAGGGTCTCATGAGATTGGCTTTATTGTGAATTTAAAAATTCTAAAAACCTTTTTAAAAATAAT